ATATGACCGGTTGAGCTGCCGACAAGTTGAGCCGCCGGTAATTTCTATGGAACGCCAAGCGCGTCTCTCAGTGAATGTAGCTGTCTCTTATACACATCTAGATGTGTATAAGAGACAGATATTATAGTAACTCGATGCCTATCAAATAAGTAATAAAAATTCGCCATAATTCATCAAATATCCGTGGCCTCCAGGGGGCGAAGCCCCCTGGACCCCCACCGGGGGGCCTGGGCGCCCCTGGCCCCAGCCAAGTGACACTTGATTCGCTCCACTAGCCCCCCCCCCACTCGTCGGGGCCTTTAGCCCCTCCGTCGGGCAGGTCCTGGCGCCACCACTGCTCTGTAACTGATGGCCTCCGGCCCATGACAATAAAAATAATCCCAGGCACGTTAACATTATTTGTACAATACCATGAGATTTTTCCTTTTCTCAAATGCATAGTGAAGAAAAACGCATCCCAAAATATATGTGAATTTATAACTTTATAAATTTGTCATGTGCTGGATAATTATAGATAATAGAAAAGTAGAATGAACATTATTTCTCTGATAAATAGGCATAATTCTTGCATTTCAAATTAAAATTAATTACGTCTTCTGATCGAGTAATATAAACATACGGTAATATAATCCATTATGCACTACACATTTTCGCTTGAAAGCTGCTTCTATTAAGAACTTAATTAGATAAACGAAAGGAAGTAAATATCCACTTAATGTAAGGCTCAATATTACTCAACACAAATGGCTCAATTTAGAGTTCAGTTTAATATCAAGATTATATTCTCATTCTACGTTTTTCAATTGAACTCGTTAAACCAATTCTGATAATCTATATCAAGAAGGCAACACTGCATGCTTGATCATTTCATGGAGGAAAGACTAAAAAGTAAAATCATTTCCTACTCCATGATTAAACCATGCCTTCGCAAAACCATCATAAATGATGATGATAATAATAATAATAATAACGATCGAACGTAGTTTGCACAGTACTCATTATTGTTGTCAATGAATCATGCTTTAGATGGGCATTGTAGAATATACAGTAGAATATATATATATTTTTATTTTGTAAAATAGTGATGAAAATCGACTAAAAAATGCAGATAATAGAGGAAAAACGATCGTTTTTTTCATCTTCAGCACAGGGAACAAGATGTGAAGTGCGCCACCAACATTACAAGTGTGTTTTTTTTTCTGCAGATTTTTTTAGATAATAAACAATGTTTTAAATATGATAATAATAAAGTACTATGAAGACAAATAATAGGTTACGACCTACGCTTCAACTAGCAGATAGTTTTAGGCCTAGCCTAAGTACTACCAGGGCTCTACTAACTAGGCCTAGACCTTAGTAGTGTGGCTAGGCCGACCTGTCCTAGGCCTAGCCTAGCACTGCAGTTAGCCTACGGAACCACAATGCCTATTAAAATAAATATTGTACAAACAAATCTTTTATGTAAAATTTAGTGTCTGTTATGGCCTTTGTCAAAGATTTGGCTTGGCACCAAAAGCAGTTTTTTGAAATCTCTAGGCCTAAGAAGGCTACGAGCTAGCCTAGTAGGCTAGGCCTAGGCCTGGGAAAAAAAATCCCCCGCCCCTAAACATTTCTGAGAGTGTGACGCTAAACAAGTATTTTTTTTTTTTTTTTGCCTTATTTAATTTTAAGATTCTTAGCCCGTATTTGAGAAGCTTGGCAATGGAGAATTATAGATAGCTTAAAATACGATACTCTCCGATGTAACTCCTTTGATTTTATTCCTCCATGCTTAGGCTAATCTTTCAAGTACCAGGGGCGGATCGATTTTTTTATTAGGCCTACGACCGTGAGTCTTCTTTTCAGAAGAGTGAAGGTAGAGGTTGTTTGGATCGCATCCCTATATCATAGCGGTCACGGTCACCCACCATACCAATCGTCAACAGAGTCTTTCAATATTTTAAGGAATTTAAAGCTTAAACAACTTTACATACACGCACGCACACAAACACACGTACACCGGATAATGACTTACAATGAGTTTTTACAATATTGTGGTCACGACATGTTATGATATTTGAGGTAAGACTGGAATTTTTTACATTTGTAGGCGAAAAGTTTTACATTTGAGGTTAAACAGATTTTTTTTTTACACTTGTGGGCGCTTTATTTATTAAATTTTTCTACATTCGTGGCTATTTTTACAATAGTGATTGACATGTTATGA